ACTATTTATTAGTAAAATTTACGAATTCTAAAGCAGAAAATGGTAAGAAACTTCAAAAATTAGTAGAAATTACTAATAAGCAATAATTAGTAAAAATTATTATTTATTAGTAAAATTTACGAATTCAATAGAAGAAAATAGTAAAAAAAAATTAGTAGAAATTACTATTTATTAGTCAAATTTAGAAATTCAAAAGCAAAAAGACAGTCACTAATTCAAATTAGTAAAAATATTTATAGACTGACTTTTTGCTTTTAAGTTAGTAAATTTTGCTTTTAAATTAGTAAATTTTATGTACTAATAAATAGTAATTTCTAATAATTTACTATAATTAAATTTACTAATTCGAAAGCGAAAAATAATTAAAAAACAAAAATTAGTAGAGATTAATATTTATTAGTAAAATTTACTAATTCAAAATCAAGAAGTAGTAAAAAAACAAAAATTAATAGAAATTACTATTTGTTAGTAAAATTTACTAAATCAAGAATAAAAAGTAGTAAAAAAACAAAAATTAGTAGAAATTACTATTGATTAGTCAAATTTAGAAATTCAAAAGCAAAAAGTAGTAAAAATGACAAAATTTATAATAGAAATTATTAAAAAAACAAAAATTTATCGAAATTACTATATTTGTTAGTAAAATTTACTAATTCAAAAGAAAAAAGAAGTAAAAAAAGAGAAATTAGTAGAAATTTCGATTTATTAGTAAAATTTACAAATTCAAAAGCAAAAAGTAATAAAAAACAAAAATTAGTAAAAATTACTATTTATTAGTAAAATTTAAAAATTCAAAAGTAATCGTTTCATTGAATCAAATTTTTCTTTCACTGCAGTGAAAGAAAAATATACGGTCAATGTAACGATATCCGTAGGTAATTAAAAAAAAATTGTCTAAGGACTATAAAAATTGAAGTGGTTTTTAATATATGGATTATGGTTTATAAAGAAAAAAAGCAAAAAAAAAAAATGTTTTTAAACTTAAGAGGCTCTTTGATGAGGCAAATAAGCCTGTAACATATGCTGGCTGCCGAATTCAGAGGCCTTTTAACATACCGCAGTCTCGAGTGTGCGGAGAAATTTAAGTTTAACTTTTAACCGACCAGACACCATCGCCATCGCGAGAATTACCGTCTTCTCTCTGAAACTTTCAACTTTTGTGTGTTAGTAAAGAAAGAAAAAATAAAAAAAAAAAAAATACCAGCCCTGTCGTGCATCATCCTGAGAGAGAACCTGGACACGTGGCCAAGGGGCTTCAATTAATTTCAAATATATTGGAGTCACCCATTTATATTTATACGTGAACTTGAAGTGATCACTTTTAAATTTATTTCCGTCGAATATTTTTATATACATATAAGCGAAATGAAACATAAATCTTACCAAAAAACTTTAGGTGTACCATTATATACTGGATTGATAATAGTTTTCAATTCAAATTTGCCCAGAGGATGCAGGATTAAATTCGAATCTGAAAAATAATAAATAATTTTGAATTAATTTAATTAGCAATTTTCAAGAACTTAGATTTTTCAAAAATTTTAATAATTCAAATTCTTCTGAAATTATTAGTTAAAGTTTTTAATATATATTTAATATTAATTATTAAAAATAATGGGAGAATTTTAGTTAAAAACGCAATTAAAAAATTGAATTTTGGAGAAGTAAAAATAATTGCAGAAATTCAATTATTATTATTTCTTTTAAAATTCTTGACAAAATTTCAATTTATTTTATAAATTAATAAAATTCTTTTCCAAAATTCAATTATTTTCAAAAATTTTAATAAAATTCTTGGCAAAATTTCAATTATTTTTAAAGATATTCGTCAATTCAATGATTTTTAATATTATTTATATTTCAAGAAAATTTTCAAAAAGAATTCAATTATTTAAAAAAATTTTTAATAAAATTCTACGCAAACATTGAATTATTTTCATATAATAAGAAAAATTTCACAGGAATTCAATTATTTACAATTTTTTCTTATAAATTTCTTCACAATAATTCAATTATTTTTGTGAATAATGAAATTCTTTACAGGGATTCAATTCTTTTCGAAAATAATAAAATTCTTCTTCGGAATTCAATTATTTTCATAAATAATCAATCTCATCGCAGAGTTTCAATTATTTTTAATAAAATTTTAATCGAATTCGTTGAAAAATGTAATTATTCTTAAAAAGTTTACTAAAATTCATCAAAAAAATTTAATTATTTAAAAACTTATTGATAAAATTCTTTATGAGAATTCAATTTTAAGACACATTTAATTTTTCAATAAATTATTTATTTTTGTATTTAAATAATTGAATTTCAATTAGAATTTTAAATAATAATTGAATATTAAAAGCATTATAGCGTGAATTTTTAGAAATAATTGAATTTTGAAAAGGTTTAAAGTACTAATTTAGAACCTATTTAAAATTCAATTATTTTTTTTGAAATCTTTAAATTAACAATTCTGTCGAAAAAATTTTTTTGAGAAATTTTAATTTCAATTGTTCTAAAATTAGTTGAAGACTTTGATATATATTTAAATATTAATTATTTAATGACAAAAAATAATTGATTTACAGAAGAATTTGAGTCAAAAACTCTAAAAAAAAAGTAATTGTATTTTGTAGAAGTTATACAAATTATAATTTTCGAAAATATGAATTTTTAATAGTTTTAATTAATAATTCTGTAGAATTTAATTTTTTGAAAAATTTTAATTCCCATTTTTTTTAAATTAATTGAATTTTTTAATACATTTGTAATTATTAATTATTCGGTTATTCAAATAATTTATTAAGATGAACATTATTAAAAATTATTGATTTAGAGAAGAATTTTAGTTAAAAATTCCAGAAAATAATTGAATTTTGAGGAATTTACAAATAGTAGCAATTTTTAGAAATAATGAATTGAATTTTAATGAATTTAATGAAATATTTTTAAAAAACTTAATTTTTTGAAAAATTTTAATTTTGAAATTAATTGAGTTTTTTTAATATATTTTTATTATTAATTATTGAATTATTAAAATAATTGATTTAGATGAATATTATGAAAAAATAATTAATTTAGAAAAGAATTTTCGTTAAAAATTCAAAAAAATAATAGAAGGCTACGAAATAATAATGATAACCTAATAATTAATAATAAACGTTATACAAAAATAATAATCGATTATTATTTTCAAATTTTATTTATTTATTCATTGAGATGCAGCAAATCGATCTAATCTATTTGAGTATAGAGAAATTAATTGAACGTAGAAAAAAAGTACTTGTTTATGCATAAAAAAGAAAATTGCGATTTGAAATTTTCGAGAAATAACGTTTATCAAATTTCCATGGCAATGGCACATTCCGCGAGTAAGATGAGGAAGGGCGCCTTGAAAACGCGAACTCGCAATACGAGTACATCTTTTTTAATGGAAGTGCGCTGCGCGCTCTCTCTCTCTCTCGAGGTGGATGAGAGGAAGAATTCGCATTTATATCAAAGAGAGAACATTAGATTTTAGTCAGCATAATTTTTACATAATATCTTATTGCTTTCTCAGTCGGTTTATATTGTCAACATAATTATATAGTCCTTTGACCCCACGGAGTATAATTCTCATTTTCACTCATTTCTATAATGATGTTTCTCTCGCTTTTTCTCAATTATTTTTTTTTTTTTTCAATCAACAGCCATCAATTTTATTTATATTATTTGAATATCGAAAAATATTAAGTATTAAATTATAAACAATAATAAATTTATATAATAAATTTAATTAATAAAAATTAAATTAATTAATTTTTAATTTATTTAACAATAACAAATTTATATAATAAATTTGTTATTGAGTCTCTCTGAATAACAAATTTAATTATGATAATAGTAATAATAATATTAATAATAATTTATTTAATTGTAATTAATTAATTAATTAATTAATTGTAATTATATATAAATTCTTTTTAAAAAAATTTTTTTATATAATAATTATTTCTATTTTTCTGTTTTTGTTACCATTATTACCGGTTTTATATAAAAAAACATGTAAATTATATTATTTATTATAAATAGTAATTTATTATTATTATTGGTAAATTATTAATTGAACAAGTAAATTTGGTTGATTTTCGTCTTTTGAAGTCGTTAATGTTTAATTTAAATATTTTCCACTGTAATTTAAAGGCATATTGCGAATTATTTTCAGTACGTAAATGTTTGTTGGAAGTCCCCCATTTTCTACAATGGTTATCAACAATATAACCGGAAACTGATAATGTCGTATCCGCTCGTCATCCACTTTTTTTTTTTTTTACTATATTCATCTTCCCTTTAAATGACCTCAATTTTGCTATTATGTTTCGCGGAATAATAAATATACGACTTTCTTTATAGTCGAAATTTTAAAATGAAACACTATTTAATATTTATCAATTCTATGAATTTATTAATTATTAATTAACAAGGGTTTATTTATTAAAAAGGGATTTTTTTACTATTAAAACAATCTCTCGTTTTTATACATTTAAAAAATAATCTACATTTTTCAGAAATTTCTTTCTTATATATAAAATTTAAAAAGAGAGAAAATTTAAAAAATATTATTAATTTATTAATATTTATTAATTTAATAAGTTATCTTTCTTTTTTTTGAAATAGAATTTAAATGCTTTATGGAAAAAAAATATTCATTTGGAACAGCTACAATTTTCACTAGATTAGCCAAATTTTTAGTTGTTAAGTCTTTCGCTATTCTAGAGAAACTTATCGCTGTTCCAGATAAAATTTTTTTTTTCCTGAATCAGGGGTGAGGAAGGAGACGAATTTTTTTTCTATTATTATTATTTAATAAATAATAAAAATGTAAATGAAAAATAATAAATTGCATAAATAGGAACAAAATTACACATATACTTTATCATTAGGATGAAATTGTGCCTTTAGTTTAATTAAAAAAAATAAGAAAAAAAAATAGAATCGAATTCACGAGTCTGTCTGAAATATATACACAGTGCACAACAATGAGGTGGAATTCTTTACGGAGGGTCGTGAGTGTGTTAATTGTGGGGCGATTTCCACCCCTTTGTGGCGAAGGGACGGGACCGGACATTATCTCTGCAACGCATGCGGACTCTATCACAAGATGAATGGAATGAATCGACCATTGGTCAAACAAACTCGGCGCCTGGTAAGATGTAATCCCGCCCAGGTCACACGAGAAAGCATCATTTTTCACTTTTTTTTTTAATTTTAATAATTATTTTATTTATTTTATTTATTTTATTTATTAATAAATATTTTTTTTCCAGTAATTTTTTGTCTTTCAATAATTTATTATTTATTTATTCAATTTTTTACTTCAATAATTATTTATTAATTTCTTTTTTTGTTCCAGTAATTAATAATTTACTCCTTTTTCTATTTTAATAATTATTTTTTTTTTTATTTCAACAATTATTTATTTATTTTGTATTTCAACAATTATTTATTTTTTAATTCATTAATTATTTATTTTTTATTTCATTAATTATTTATTTTTTATTTCAAAAATTATTTATTGCTTTCTTTATTTGAAATAATTAATTATTTTTAAATTATAATTCATTTTATGCAATCTTGAATAAAGAAATTTTTGGTTCGAATAAAGTTTATTAGATTATAATTCAAATAAATTTAAATGATATTCAAATAAATTCAATTTTTTTCAATTTATTTAAATAAATAAATTATTTATTTATATAGATAGAAAAAAATTAAATTTATGTACCTTAGAAATATAAGATAGAAAATCAGACAAAGAGGAAGCAAGAAAATAAAAATCAAAGTTTGTGTGGGGGGAGGAAAAAATCTCGTGCTCGACCCGTGGCAAAAAAAAGATAGCCGCAAAAAAAGGCGATCAGGAGCCTATGTAGAAATTCGCCCGTGGTGTGAAAGTTGCAATTAATATTTAAATTAAAGAAACAGGAAAAATTTTTTAAGAAAAAAAAATGTTTTGAAAAAAAAATGTTTTGAAAAAAAAATCTTTGAAGAGAAAATCTTTTGAAAGAAAAGTCGTTAATCGAAATTGTAAGGCCAATTTTTTAGTATACACATGAACAAAAAAAAAATGAAAATGTTTTTAGAAAAAAAGCATGTTTTTGGTGTAAACACCCCTAACGTATGGCCTCCTGTCTGTTTCAGTGGCGGACCAGGGCGAATTCTGCAAAAGCTTCTATGGGTATAGTGGCGCACCTCGCGCTCATGAGGAGAAATCGGGCCGCCGTTTGGTAGGTGTCATCCCCCGCCCCAACATTATCTAATTTCGTATCTCTTTTTTATCACTTTCTCTATGCGCATCATCTCTTCATTATCATTTTTTTTCTCTTCGTCTCTAATTTTCTTCATTTTTCTTCTCCTCTCTTTTTTTATTAGTTCCATATTCTAGATTTCATCCTCTAGCTGCGTTTTCTCAATTTTTTTCTTTATTTTAACTAAAATTTATTTACTTACTTTATTTACTTTAAAATTTTTTTCTTCCCTCTTTTATATAATTATAAACAATTTTAATTAATTTTCTTTATAAATATAAAATTTTGATAAAGTTGTAAAAAAATCAAGAGCATTCCGAAAATTTCTTAACGGAATTCAAGACTAAATTTGCAAAAATTCGGCAAATTTTGAACAATTGATTTGATTTTTAATTTAGTTTGTTATTTACTCTAAAAGTAAATTCTTTTGTTTATTTCGAGTGAAGAAAAAATTTTTATTCGGTAAATATATTTTTTCGGACAGAATTTGTCTATGTTAATTTATTTTTAATTTAATAAATAAATATTAAATTTATTTTTTATTCAATAAATAAATATTTAATTTATTTTTTATTTAACAAATATTAAATCCATTTTTTAATTATAATAAATATTAAATTCATTTTTTAATTAAATTTATTTTTTATTTAATAAATATTAAATCCATTTTTTATTTAAATTTTCGAAACAATTTTAAATGGAAATTTGAAAAATTCTTTTGTGTAAAATTTTAGGTCTTTTCTGTTTTTAATTTTAGGAATCAAACCCGAAAATTTTTATGAAAAAAAAATTAGTTTTTTAAAATTCAAGATTCAAACGAAAAAGAGAAGGAAGGGAATTGAAATATTTTTTAATGTAAAAAGTTCCAGGGAAAATTCATCATTCACGTCATTTTTAGGATTTCTCTCCACTTTTGTTTTTCTGTATGCACCTCATTTTTCACCATTTCTGTTTTCGAGATCTGTCGTAGCTTGAGGTGCCACTATACCCATGGTATAACCACTCTCCTTTCCGAAATCACGTTTTAAGCCTGGACAGAAATAAAATATTTTATACAAAAAGAAAAAAAAATTAATAATTTTGTATCTTTTCTTCAAAAAAAAAAGGTACAATTTTTATCTTTTCTTTCGAAAAAAGTATAATTTGTATCTTTTCTTTTGAAAAAGGTACAATTTGGATTATTTCTTTTGAAAAAAGGTACAATTTGTATCTTATTTTTTAGAAAAAGAAAAAGCACTTTTTTATTCAATTTTTCAAAAATGTTTCAAAACAGAAAATTTAATTTACTGATATTGATGAATTTACAGGCAAGCGTGACTTTGCGCGAGGTGGTGGCTTTATTTCCTCTTCTCCGGTTGATCTTGATAGTCAAAGGTCTCTTGTAAAAAGACGGTAATTTAAGAAAATAAAATTTTTTTTTATTTGTTTTTATATTAAAATTAATGTTATTTGTATTTTTTTAATGCCATTAATTTTGAAATTTCAATCTTATGGCAATTGGAAAATAGAAAATTTTTTTTTTTAATATTTCTGATATTGTTAAATATTTAAATTGTAAAACATTTATTTACATTTATTTATATATTATATTAAGAGTATAAAAATAGAAAAATAAATAAATATACATAAATATTTATTTATTTCAATTTATTTAGAAATATCGTCAATTGATGATTAATTTTTTGCAATTATTATGGTTTTGATACTAAAAATATTTTCTTTATGTGAAAAACGTACTTTTGTGCAAGACACCTTTGGGTACTAAAACAGTTGCTTCCTCTTTTCTTAATTTATTGAAAAATGTGAAATATTTATAGATGGAAATTTATTGTAAATAATTATGAATAATTTGCTTTTTGTCTGACACTTTCATTAATTTATCATTTTCTTCTTACTTTCGATTGTCTAACTAGTTTCTTAAAAATAAAACAAACAATTTTTTTGTCTATCAATTTTTCTTTGAAAAATTCTGTTGTCAATCAATTTTTTTTTGAACAATTTTTTTTAATAAAAATTATTTTTTAATACAAATTTTTTTGTAATAATTTTTTTCTTGCTTATTAATAAAATATTTGAATAATAATCATATAATAATAATTTAAATGGTAAAAATAATTATTGGATTTCTAAATTTTCTTTCTTGGTGACCAAAAACCTATTTTTTTTGAGAATTTTTAAATTAAGTTTCCCAGTTTCTCTCCAATTGAAGATTGATCTCATTTATTTATTAATAGCAACAAAAAAACACTGATAAAAAATTTTAATTAATTCAAATAAACGTCTGCTTCTCTATTAGTAAATAAATATTTATTTGTATCAAATAGTTTTTAATTCAATTAATTAAATTTTTAAATTTGCTTTAAATACTGGAATTATTGACAGTTTATTTGATTTAAATAAAAATTGTTTGAATCCAGTAAATATTTATTTGATTAATTACAAAATTCTTTGATTTAAATAATTATTTAGTGGATTTGAATAAAAATTATTTGGTCCAAGTCAATATTTATTCTTCGACTTAAATAAAAATTATTTAATCCAAGACAATATTTATTTGACTTAATTGAAAATTATTTGATCCAAGTCAATATTTATTTGATTAAAAAATTTTTTGATTCCTGTAAATGTTTATTTGATTAAAATAAAAATTCCTTGATTCAAGTAAATATTTAGTGGATTAAAATAAATATTCTTTGATTCAAGTAAATATTTAGTGAATTAAAATAGAAATTCCTGGATTCAAGTAAATATTTCTTTGATTAAATTAAAAATCGTTTGATTCAAGTAAATATTTGATTAAAATAAAAATTCCTTGATGCAAGTAAATATTTATTTGATTAAAATAAAAATCGTTCGATTTAAATGAATATTTATTTGATAACAGTCAAGATTTGAATCAAATAAATTTTTCTTTCATTGTATAGTGGACGGTTTTTTGAATTTTTTCGGGAATCAATCTTTAAATTGGAAAGAGTCTGGGATGTAAAACGTGAAATAAAATATTTTCTTTTCTATTTTGAATATAGTCCGCCACGAGACGAACGGGACTTCAATGCAGCAATTGCCATACGGGTGCAACTTCACTATGGCGTCGCAATCAAATGGGAGAGTCCGTTTGCAATGCTTGCGGATTGTATTTTAAACTCCATGGAGTCAATAGGCCACTGGCAATGAAGAAGGAGACAATTCAAACTCGCAAGCGAAAGCAAAAGGGCACAATAAAAGCATCCAACACTCAGATCTCAGCGAATGCGGCTCCTTGCATCAATAACAATAATAATACCAACAACAATAATAACAATAACTTCAAATTTGATCCAGGTATGTATTTAAGAATTTTTTTCATGTAAATTTCTACTTAAAAATTTTAATATATTTTTTTTTTTTTTTTGCTTTTTTAATATATTGTGGAAAAGAAATTGATAAATTTGAATAAATATTTTTAACATATTGAAAGGAAGGTCATGTTAAATTTTAATAAATATTTTTACACTGGAAAAAAATTTATTTAATTCAATTAATCGATTAATGGTCTATTATGAATTAAATATTTACTTGAATCAAATAAATTTTATTTAAGTCAAAGAAATTGTATTTGAACCAATAATTTCAGTATTTTAAGGAAATATATTTAATTTATTATTTAAATAAAGATAAACTAAAATAAATTAGTAATAATAATTTATTAAACATTAAAAATTATTGAGTTTAAGTAAAAATTATTTTAATCAAGAAAATATTTATTTTAATCAAAAAAATGTTTTTTTCACTTTAATGTAGGGAAAAAAATAATAAATTTTAATAAACGATTTTTTTATACAAATAAAATAAATTGAATTTTTGTCAAAAGAAATACAATTCAATATTTAAATTTTCCAGTTCATGTACAGCAATATTTAACTAATTTTCAATGAAATGGATAAAAGAAAAGGTAAAAGTAAAAGAATATTAAAAATTCGAACTTTGTTTATAGTTAAATTTTTCAATTTTAATTGAAGACTTATTACTGAATACGAAATTAATTCTTTATTAAGTTTTTCTATAAACAATAGTTTTATTTTATTGTTTGCTAATTGTAAATTTAATTTATTTTTAAATTCTACAATATTTTATAATTCACTGTTAAATTAAATTCAATAATAAATTTATTTATAAAAATAAATAAATGAATAATAAGTTTCCTTTTGAATTTCTTTGATAATAATTTTTGTCTCTAACTATTTAAAATTTTTAAATAAATAAAATTCTAATTTACTGCTTTGAAAATTAAATAATTACAAAAATTAAAACAAAATTGTTTTGAAATATAAATCATAATTTATTTTTTAATTTAAATTTAAAAGTTTTATTTTATTAAATTATTTAATTAAAATTGTATTAAAAGTGAGTTTTTATAACAAATCTTATTAAAATTTTGGAAAGTAATTTAATTCTTTTGAAGAATTTCATTAAAATTGTTGTTTATTAAAATTATTAAAAATTATTTATTTCCTGTGAAGAAGTTTATTATTTTTGGAACTAATTGAATTTTTATGAAGAATTTTATTATTTTTAAAAATAATTGAATTTCTACGAAGAATTTTATTATTATTAAAAATAATTGAATATCTACGAAGAATTTTATTATTGTTGAAAAAAATTGAATTTCTACGAAGAATTTTATTATTTTTGGAAATTAATTGAAATTTTATGATGAATGAAATAAATTGAATTCTTTTGTAGAATATTATTAAAGTTTTGAAAAATAATTAAATTGCTTTGAAGAATATTATTTAACATTTTTTTAAATAATTGAATTTCTGCCGACAATTTTATTATTTTTGGAAATTATTGAATTTCTATAAATATTTAAAAAATTTTTAGAAATATACTTGAATTTAGAAAAAGAACTTCATTAAAATTATTTAAAATAATTGAATTTTTTTTAGCGAAAAATTATTAAAATTGTACTGAAAATAATTAAATTATTTCAAAGAATTTTATTATTGAAAATAATGGAATTCTTGCGTGAAAAATTTTATTAAATTCATTAAATATAATTAAATGCTGCAAATAATTTTATCATTTTAGGAAATAATTGTGACGCGATCTGAAGAAAGGGACCTTAGAAGCAAATCATTTTAAGGTTGGGTTAGAGTTATTTTTTTCTTGTTTGAAAGTTTCTTTTTACTTATTTCGAATTTAAATCAGTGTTTATTAAATATTTTAGTTTTAATGAAGACTTAAACTTCAATGATTTATATTGACAGTTGATCCTTTTTTTGTATTTTCATTTAAAAAATTGCAAACATAACCTATAATTTTTTGCTTCTAAGGTCCCTTTCTTCAGATCGCGTCACAATTGAATTTTTATGAAGAATTTTATTATTTTTAAGACTAACTGAATTTTTTACGAAGAATTTTCTTATTATTAAAAATTTAGGAATTTCTACGAAGAAATTTATTATTTTTGAAAATAATTGAATTTTTACGAAGAATTTTATTATTTTTGGAAATTAATTGAATTTTTATGATGAATAAAAATAATTGAATTCTTTTGTAGAATATTATTAAAGTTTTGGAAAATAATTAAATTGTTTTAAAGAATATTATAACAATTTTTTTTTAATTATTGAATTTCTGCAGACAATTTTATTATTTTTGAAAATTATTGAATTTTTATAAAGTTTTTTATAATTTTTGGAAATATACTTGAATTTATAAAAAGAATTTCATTAAAATTATTCAAAATAACTGAATTTTTTTTAGCGAAAAATGATTAAAATTGTACTGAAAATAATTGAATTGTTTCAAAGAATTTTATTATTGAAAATAATTGAATTCTTGCGAAAAATTTTATTAAATTCATTAAATATACCTAATGAAATGCTGCGAATAATTTTATTATTTTTGGAAATAACTGAATTTCTGCGCTAAGAATTTTATTAAAATTATTCAAAATAATTGAATTCTTTGGAGGAAATCTATTAAAATTTTATTAAAAGCAATTGAATTATTGAAAAGAATGTTATATTATTGAAAATAATTTGAATTCTTGCAAAAAAAATTTATTAAAAATAATTGAATTCTCGCGAAGAATTTAATTACTTTTGTGATATAATTGAGTTTCTATGAAGAATAATTAATTAGTTAATTTATTAATAATAATAATTAATTATTAATTAATAAGTGAATTCCTTTTTTTAATTTTCAGTCTAAAATTATTGAAAAATTAAAGTCGATATTTGAAAATAAAAAAATTTTGTAATTTCCATGATAATAAAAAATTAAATACGCCCGTAAAACTTTACGGTTTAAATTAAATTAATTAATAAAAATATATTAAAGAAGTTAAATAAATATGAAGTTTAATTTTGTATAATTAAGAATTAAATTCACTTTCAATTTGAAACTAAGGAAGATAATAAATTTATTAATAAGTAAATAAATAAATAAATTAATATTAATAAATAAATAATTTAATTAGTTAATTAATATTTAATATTAATAAATAAATAAATATAACGTTTCATTTTGGATTAAAGAATGTGTAAATTTTGCATTTCCAGATAATTTCAATGATTTGAGAATGGCTCACACAAGTGTCTCCCAGGGAAATTATGCAAACTCGTTGTACAGTTCAAGTTCTCAGGCAGGAAGTAGACTTTCCACGAATGCATATCAAACGCCAATGTTGGGATCATTTTACGATATGACTGTCACTCAACAGCATCAACAACAGCAACAACAACAGCAGCAGCAACCACAGCAGCATCAATTAATTGACAGTCATTCATTGAAAGTTGAATGTCCCTCGCCACCTTGTTCGGCACGTTCGCCAATTTTAGTTTCTGCCGGACAATCGCCCGAGCATCAACTTTCATCGCCCCATATTGTCACATTGGAAAATTGCTCCTCAGCACCACCGAGGAAACGACAAAAATTGGACAACAATCAGTTAGAAAGGTCAACTGTTTTAATTAATGGTATTGGTCACTCTGGCTAAAAAACAATTTTTTAAAAAAAGAAAAAATTCACGTAAAAAAAATTGAATCTCATACTTTAGTATACCAGAAATTTTGTTGTTAAGTTTCATAATTATTACTGTTTAATATGTTAAACAAAAAAATTTTTTAAACCCTTTTTTCAAATTTTGAATATTTTATTTCTTTTTTTTAAAAAAAGTAGTTTTATTTTTATTATCTGAAGGACATAATGTGTTTAAGCAGTGTCACGAAAGCAATGGTTTGTTTTGAAAAGAAAAAAATTGTTTGAAATAGTTTTATATGATGAATTTTGCGATTTTTAATTATGATTTCTGACTTTTTATTGCGGCAAAAATTATTATTTAATTTATAAATATTATTTTAAATCGAATATATAAAATATTTTAAACAATTTATTTTATTTTTAAGTTTAGTTATAAATGTGTTTTTTTAAAATATTATTGCTCTCTTGACGCCACTGACTGATACTTGTCTTTTTGAAGTCAAACAAGTTTTTTTTTTTTTTTAATAAAAAAAAAGTAGTTAATGTATTGAATGAAAATACATATAAAATTAAATATTAAAAGAAAAATGCAGGATGTATTTTAAAAAAAAAGTATATATTTTTTTTGTGCGGAAAATTATCTCAAGAGTGCCTTGTTTTTCTATGAATTAAAATAAAATTCGCGAGTGCGAATATAAATTGTGTGCGAGTATGTAAATAATTGTGTGTCTATGATACTGTACATACTTATTATTGAATATTTCCTGAAAGAAATTAATTTCTTTTCTGTATATAGGAAAATTGTATTAGCCCAAATTTCAGAGACTAACGATTTTCTCCTTTTGTTTGTATTATTTTTTTTTTTTTATTAAGATTTTATTTTCCTTCTTTAGTAAGAATTTCGAATATTCTAATTTGAAAAAAATACTTATTGAGATTTTTTTCTCGGAATTCTATTTTTTCTGAGACAAAAATTTTACATCCCTAGAGATTTTGCATATTGTACTTTTTGTTTCTAAATTTTTTAAGTTTCCAAACTCATTGAAGTTTTGATATAAAAATTTTTTTTTCTTTTTGTTTTGGAAGACTGATCATGACATGATCGAATTCAGTGGAAAAGAAGTTCGACAATATAGTTTTCTTTTTTTTTTTTTTGTTTCTGTAAATAGTAAAAAAAAGTGCCTAAGTAGTATAAAATTTTTACTTTACTTTAGTATGGAACTAATTGTTTTTCTCTCTGTCTCTCTCTTCTTTTCTACCAAAGACTCTTTAAGATTCTTAATAAACTTTTATTGTGCAAGCTTTTAAAAACGATGCCAAATTGAATTCGTCAATGTCTCTGTAAATACGTTATTTTTTAGTTTTTAATAATAAAGTTAGGATGAAAAAAAATTATATATATATATATATAGACTTAACGTTCTAGAATATGTTTAAAAAAAATGTTTACAAATAAAAGGCAACGAATACATTCTCTTGAGAATTTATATACATTCAGTTTTTCGTCGAATAAGAATGGAAAAAAAACCAAAAACATTTAAACGAAATGAAAAAATATTTTTTAGACAATAGTTTTTAAAAGATGTTATACAGCTGAAGCGAAAAATCAGAAAAAAAGAATGTATTTACGTGTAATATATATTTTCACAATATATTTTTAACGAGTCAGCCATGAATATTTGCTAATAAAGCGGGATATTTAAAAAAAAGGATGTTTATTGAGGTTTTATTTCTTACCTTCACAGGACTTTCGTCTTGTGGTATTTTTATCGCACGTGATTGTTTACTAGGAATAAATTTTCAAAATATAAATTATTTTTTACTGTAATTTATTTTTATTTAAGTGTAGATTTATTTATTATAAATTTATAATACAGTTTTTGTCTTTTGGTTGTAAACGTTAAATATAAATTTATATTTATTTGTAGGTACATTTTTTATATTTTAAAATTTTCTTTACAATCATTAATTAAAATTATATAATATTCGTAATTAAATTAAATATAAATGATCTTTAATTAAAAATAGTACCTAAATTTTTTGTATTTAAATATAAAAAGACAGAAATTTAAATAGTCCTTTGGTTTCAAAGGTAAAATATAAATTTATATTTATTTGTAGGCACATTTTTTATATTTTAAAATTTTCTTTACAATCATTGATTAAAATTATATAATATTTGTAATTAAATTCAATATAAATGATCTTTAATTAAAAATAGTACCTACCTAAATTTTTTTTATTTAAATAATATAAAAAGACAGAAGTTTAAATAAAAACTATTTAATTTCATAATAATTATTAAATTTATTAAATAATAATAAAAAACTAAAATATAAAAGAAATAAATTTAATTTAATTATTATTTAATTAAAGCAAATAAATAATTTTAAATATAAAAATAATTTAATTTGAATATAAAATGATATTTAAATTATATAAAAATTATAAAAAAATATTAAATTATTTTAAATTATTTTGAATTATTTAAAATTTTATTAACTTATATTTAAATTAAAATTAGAATGACGATTCAATTCAGTGTATTTTTCACGATTTTAATACTAAATTTTGATTGGCTCTGAAAAATATTTCCATTTTCACTAAAATAAGAAGTGAAAATGGAATTTTTTCCCAGAGCCAATCAAATTTAACGATGCGATTTAGTGAAAATTTATCGAAACAATTTCGAGAAAAATGGCGCCATTTTCCCCAGTTAATAACACGTGGTTTTTGGAGAGTTCGAAATCACTAAAATTGCAAGTGAATTTATCATAAAAAAATAATTATACACAACATATTCGAGTTCACCTTCAAAATAGAATAAGAAATCATCGGTAAGTTTATATTTATTTATTAAAATTGTAATTAAAAATTTCTTTTATTTAAATTATTAGTTTTGCTTCCTCCATTTTCATGCGGATAAATTTCACTAAAAATAATAATTGTTCTAGGAAAATTTTTCTGAAATTTTCAAGAAACGCATTTTATTTCCCCGTGGGCGAACAAATTTATTTCTAAAGTATTTAATTTTCATTAGCGACTTTTTATATAAATTATAGAAAATTCCTAGAATATTAAAAATATATTTTTTATTAATAATATAATAATAGAGGAAGCAATAAATAATAATAATAATAATAATAAATTGAATATTTTTTCAATATTGTTATTGAATAAATGTATTTATTTATTTATTTTTTAATGTATTTAATTATTTAATAATATAATAATTATTATTAAATAACTAATAAATAGTTTATAATAAATTTTCGGAATGTTTAAAATAACTGAAATAATAATAATAATACACAATTGATTATTAAAGTATTAATTATTACAAAATTATTAAATGTTGGAAACTAATGAGTACAATTGTTATAATTCATCATTGTAATTATACAATAATTAAATTCGATATAATAAATGAAAAAATGAATAAATTGTTTATTTATTTCAAGTGAATTATAATTAATATAATTTTAATCGTAATTATTTTGTCATATATAATTATTTCAATTATAATTGCTATAATTCATAAATTTATAATTATTACAACAATTAATTGTAATTATTTATTTAAATGAATTTATTTTTTTAAACATAAAAAGTTGTTTCTATTTTTATTTGACTTGGAAGATTGATATAATTTCCTTTTAATTAATTAATTTTAATTGTAATTATTGTAATTTGTTAATTTAATTAATTATAACAAATTTTTATAGTTGACAATCGGGATTATTAAATTATTTAAATAATAAATAAGTGAAAAATAAAGAAAGTAAATTAATTAATTAATAAATAAATAAAAATAAAAAAGCGAATTACAGAATTAATAAATAAAGAAAATAAATTTTAAAAATAAATAAATAAATGGAAACAGTAAAATAATGAATAATTTACTCGATCAATATTAATTGATTGAAAATTAATTGACTGAAAAAATGAAGAATTACTTTTTTGTAGAGTTTAATAAAAAAAAACATTAATATTCGAAAAATATAAAAAAAAATCCCGGGAAAAATAAAAGAAAATTTAGTCAAATACTAAATTTTCCTTTTTTTTTAAATATTACATTTTTTTTCTTATAAATATTACACTTAACCATTTTTTTTCTTCTTTTTCGATTATGTAAGTGTTATGTATGCGCATATATTTAAAGAAAAAAAAAAAGGAGAACTTGAAACAATTTACTTCCTGAGATTTGTATAAACTATAACAAAAAGAGTCAGTTTATGGTTTTGAATTGTGTGTTTTGAAGCTAGTGGGTTGGGATTTTTTTTATTCTTTTATTTTATCAGGGGGAAAGTTGTCATGGTTACAATGTAAAGAGGGAATCTTCCTGATAAGCTCACGTCAGGTGAGAAACACAACCAAAGCTCTCGTGTGTTATATATTTTTTTTTTTTCATTTTTTTTTGTATATATGGTTTATAGAACGAAAAAGCCCGGCATACGTTTTTCAAGATTACACATTAGATTGCATTATCACCAATGCAAACTGAGTTCAACTTTGTAGTTTTCATTCTCGGTTCACTGACATCAAAACTTTATGCTTCTCCTCTTCTTAATGTGCTTATTGCTCATATTCTCAATTCATTATTTTTCTTTTTTGCTTTAATAACAATTCTATTTGGTGAATATTACTTTTGGTGTTTGGTAATTTTAATGAATTTACTGCAATATATTGTTGTAAATAAAAAAGTAATTTTTTTTCAATTTAATTTTTTTAATTTGGAAAAAATACAAATAATTCTTCCCCAAAGTTCAATTATTTTCAAATCAATTTCAATTTTCCAAAAATAGTACGAAAACATTTAATTATTTTCATAAATAATAACAATTTCTCAGGAATTCAATTATTTGCAAATTTTTTTATAAATTTCTTCGCAATAATTCAATTATTTTTATAAATAATAAAATTTTTTGTTAAGGAATTCAATTATTTTCATAAAAAATAATTGAAAATTGTAGAAAATAATAATTGATTGAAATGATGGAAATAATTTTGAAAAAGTTACTGTAATAATATTCTTATAATATAAAACAATGACTTTATCACTCGGTCATCTTTAATTATTATAAGTTTTTGAATTTAAAAAGATTTGAATTTGAAATTTTTGAAATTCTTAATTTCTATGGAAACATAATATTGATTAAATATTTATTTTAAAAAAAGAAGTTAGTGATGTTTTCGAATAATTTTACAATTAAAGAAATTCGTAAGTAAATGTAACAGAACATTTTTTTGAGTAAAATTTTTTCCTTTATTTTCTTAAAAATTTAAAAAGTTTCATTTCAAAAAGAAAAGAATGAGTTTCTGAACAATAATATAATAATAATTTTCTTTAATATCTACTCGAAATATTAAAAAACTAAGTAAATATTGTTGGAATTTTTTCAATAATAAAAATAATTTCTAAATATTTCTATAATATTTCATTTTTTCTTATTGAATAATTTAAAAATATATTCGCTTCGACTGAATATTATTTTGGAAAATGTAATAATTAATAAAAAATAATTAAATAAATAATATAAATGTAATAATTAATAAAAATTAATTAAAAATATAAATATTTTTCAAATTATAGTATACGAAAATTTCAGTATTTTTTTGACTTTTTGATTTCAAACTATTTGACTTAAATTATGAACGAATGTGTGTCTTTATTTGAAATCAAAGCAAAGAATATTTTTTTCTCAGAGCCTACTAAATTATTTATTTGTTTTTAATAAATTTTATTTGGTTCAAATAAATTTTCTTTATTTTCAACAAATTTTATCTGGTTCAAATAAATTTTCTTTGTTTTCAGTAAATTTTAATTGCTGGTTCAAATAAATTTTATTTTTTTCCAAAAAATTTTATTTGATTCACTGAAAAAAAGCTTTATCTCGAACAGCTAAGTTTTGTCAACAAATTTTGTTTGTTTTCAATAAATTTTATTCGGTTCAAATAAACTTTATTTGATTCACTGAAAAAAAGCTTTATCTGGAATAGCTAAATTTTGGCAACAAATTTTATTTGGTTCCAATAAATTTTGTTAAATAAATATATAAATTTATATAAAATTTATTTTAATGAATTAAAACAAAATTTTTTTTATAAATTCTCAATAAATTTTATTTTTAAATAAATTTTAATCGTTGGTTCCAATAAATTATGTTTGTTTTCAATAAATTTTAATTGCTGCTTCAAATAAATTTAATTTTTTTCCAATAAATTTTTTGTAATAAGTTTTATTTGGTTCAAATAAAGTTTCATTATTTTCAATAAATTTTAATCGCTGGTTCAAATAAGTTTTCTTTGTTTTCAAAAAATTTTAATTGTTGGTTAAAATAAATTTTCTTTATTTTCAACAAATGTTATTTGGTTCAAATAAATTTTATTTTTTTCCACAAAATTTTATTTGATTCACTGAATAAAAGTTTATCTTGAACAGCTAAATTTGCAATAAATTTTATTTGGTTAAAAAAAATTTTGTTTGTTTTCAATAAATTTTAATTTGATTCAAATAAATTTTACTTCTGATAAATTTTTATTTATTCACGAAAAAAAACTTTTTTTTTTAACAATTAAATTTCCAATAAATTTTATTTTCTTCACTGAAAAAATGCTTTATTTGGTTTAATCCAAATAAATAGTTAAAAATTAAATTATTTTAGCAAAATTTTTAAGTGATGTAGTCAAAACTTTGTCTATTCTAGAG